CTTCCAGAGACCTGGAGCTGCTCCACGGAGGCAATTTCAGACCAAAGGCTGAACGCTGCTATATTCTGTATCCATTCTGTCTGCCTTCCTAACAGGTTGTTGGCAGCTGACAGCCACGAGTCTCTTCCAAGACACAGTAAAATAATTCCTCGAGAGAGCTACTGCTACAGCCTTCCTGTGTTCTTGAAATACTTCCTTACAGCTGTCCCTACTGATAATGCAGATGTAGCGGCTTTCCAGGAAGAAAATGATGGTCTTATTCCTTGAATAAGCATTCTGCTCTACCAAGTACACAGTGAGGTTCACAGGTTCCTTGTTTTTTTCTTTTTACTTCTTCTGCAAAAAGCTAGCAGTACATATGTGTGGAGGCAAGTCTTCTCCTCCCCAAACTAATTAGGCAATACAAGCAGTACAGAAAAACTGTGTATAAACAGGAGGAGGAAGTGCTAACTTGTACTAGTACTCCATCTTCTTTCTAAAATCTGGAATTCAAGTATTGAGGAAGTAAAACAATGTCAAAAAAAAAAGGGCAAATTTGAATTATTTTGAGTTCCGTGATCATGAAATAGGAAAGAAAAGATTTTATTGTGCAATCAAACATAAGCACGATAAGGACTAGAAAAGTCATGAATAGGCGGGGATTAAATACAAGGAAAAGTAAAAACTAATAGTAAAAAAACATCTAGAATGAATGACTCTATGATGATTCTAGGAGATGTAATGCTTTTATGGCAACATTTCTTTTATATATTTTATACTTTATTTTTATATAGATATATTTTATATTATATAGCTGCATATGCTATTTATGAAATAGCATAAAAACGTAAGCCTCTGCAATATGTCTATAGTTGGTTGAGATCTGTAGGTAGTAGTACTGTTTATGGATGCTAAACCCAGTAATTCGTGAAGACAATTTCTCCATGTTCTCATTTCATTTCTGAAAATCATCTACCCTTAAACCCAATATTCTTTTGTATTTATATTGTACCTATGAATACAGTCCCACAAAATTATATCAAATATCTCCCAAAATAGCCGAGGGGATGCTAATATTGTTATACTTAAAACGGTGATTTAGAGGCTAGGTTTCCTCTAGAGAAAAGCAGCCCGCCTAGGAATTGTCCCTACCAGAAAACCATGGCAGGCATATATTCTCCGTATCATTTCTAATTGTTTTAGATGTCTCTACACAGCTGTGCGATTGTGTTAGGCTGTTAATATTTTAAAAGTTAAGATCAATGAAAAAGAGGATATTTCATTAGGAGTCACCATAAAAATGATAAACTAATATTTTGTAACTATATTAGTCACAAATTACTAGGCAATTCTTCTCAGTATTTTCCCAGCTTTCCATAGAACAGATATATAAGCAACAAGACACGATCTCTCAAACCTACAGATGAATCATCCCAACCCTTTTTCCTATGGGAGAACAAATGCTTTTATTTCTGAGGAAATAAAACCTAATTTACTGAGGGCATAGAGAGCAAAAGGGCTCTTAAAGCACATTCTGTCTCATTTGTTAATTGCTGAATGCCTCAGTGTGCAAGTGCTGAAGCATTGTTCTGCTTCAAAGAAAAAAAAAAGGCTTGTAATTGCTGGTATGTAAAAAAAATAATAATACCAACAGGCATTCAAAGGTATGTTTTAGTAGTTGTCAAGTATTCTGTAGCTGTAAGTATTTAATTAAAAAGAAAACCCTGCTTATTTAAAATAAAGGTTTAGAAGTTAACTGTAACTTCTAGAAAACCGTGAAACGTTTTTCCAAGTTATTTGGTACTGCTGATAAACAGCAGCCATATTGTAAGGAAAGTGGAATTCAGCTTAATGTGATTAGCACCATCAGTTATCCCTCTAAAATAAGCACACCGAATGCAATATATGGATAAATGTAAACAATGTATTGATGACAGTCAGCTACAGGGGAATCAGACTATGTAAACCCTCTAAAGTCAGAGGTTGAGGAGTAAGAAAAAAGCACTTGGGGACAGAGGGATGAGTCAAAAAGGTCTTTTTCAAAAAATGAGGAATCATTTATTTCACAAAAGTAGGCCCTGCCCGTTTCACTCACCAGATAAAGCAAGGGAACACCATGGTGTGCATCCTGCTTGTACAGACTTCTAACATGCCACGTTTCTGCCTTTAAAAAGACAGCAGGGAAGGCAGGGGACAGAGCAGATAAATCACCAAACTGTATTAGCTCCAGCAAGTCTGCTCTGCGTTAGACTTTTAATTCAGATTTTACAGTTTTATTATAACTTTAGCTTAATTAAAGTGTTTAATGTGAAGTAATATTACAGAAACAAAACAATAGATTTTGGGCCTCATTCAGAGACGTGTTTTTTTTTCCTCCAAGTTTCCAGGACTATTCTGTGACCACCAATTTTACCAAGTTTTTTAACAGTATACTCACAGACATGGTTTGCATTGCTGCACTCTGTGCCTTCATGGATGGAGATAAGATCAGAACTGTTTAAACACCACAATGTTCAGACAATTTATCATTAGAAAATGATTTATAAAAGAGTCTGTGCCACTTCCTTTTTGATCAGTTACTTCTCACCTCTGGTAACCCTATGGTTTTAGATACTGAAAGGTTTTATTTCAGCACAAGTAACTACACAAGCCTACTGTATAATACATGACGACCTGAGACCTAAGACCAGTCTATCCCTGAAAGAGACGGTGCTACCCAAGGGACATGGGACATACCCATGCCATGGGACAAGGCTAGAGTCAGTCCAGATTTTAAAAATCCCCTAGATATGGTTGTAGGTGTCCCCAGACCCAAACTGCTTCACCGACCTGTTTGATTTTGTTCGATGACACTTGCTAATACAGAGCTGCTAGGCCCTGAGGTAGTCGAAGGTGGACTTACTTTAAAGTATTTTCCTAAGAAATTGTGGGAAGCGAGTTACAAAAGTCATTCTGTTAATGACAGCTGGATAATTTCTGCACGGTGTACAATGTAAAAATAGATAACCATAAGCTCCTACGTCCTGAAAATGAAGATTTCTCTTTCACGTTAATGAAAAACAGAATTTAAACCATTTTCAGCCCAAGTCCTCACTGACCCATCACTTCTCAGTTTAGGGATAACAGTTCCCAGGAATTTACGAGGGTTTATTACTTACCAGGATATTCTAAGATTTCAACAGTGATAACTGCAGTCAGGGGATATTAACAGCCCATCCTGAGACAGCATAAAATCTTTTATATCCCTTTCCGAGATATAAAGATCAGTGGCTCGCTGTCACTCCTGGGTTTTCATGCTAGCATAAAATCAGTAGGCTGTACAGCTACGGGGAACCACCCTTAACAATAAAGCCACTTAAGAGCTGGAAGTAGGCATCGTCACAGCACTGTTTTAAGAACCAATAAACCACAAAGATTAAATAAAAACTTAGTATCACCAACACTGGAGCATCATCCTAGTGTCCAGAACAGACCTCAGCAGTGACTGCTCTGTGCCGGCTTCTCCAGCAAAAGCAGGCTGCGTCAGGAGGCGTAAGGACAAAGCACTTTCACGACACTGCAGTTCCAGTTTCCTTCCACAATACGAACTGCTGAGTACTCGCAACGCTGCTCCAGAAACACAGACGCAGATTAATTACAGCAATTATAACTTATCAAGGAAATATCGTGCCGGTTTGTTCTTGTCGTTCCATCTCTGACTTCGTAAGTGATGACAACATAATTTAAACAGTCACAAAGCTTACAGTCATACGTATCTTTATCAATCACCCTGTCCCGTTGATAATTGATGCTCACAGGGACCACGTCCCTGAACGTTAAAAATCACAGTATTTTGGCAGTGATACCAAATGAAAAGCGCTCTTCTGGGCTCTAACCAGGGGCAACAGCATTTGCCACTGCAGTCATACTTGCTTAAGAAAACAGGCCATTACAAGGCAATTAAAAACACTCATTCAATAGGCGTGAAAAATAAAACTGGCTTATTCCTAGACATTGAACGTGCTGATGTTCTCTCCTGCCGCCAGCAGATGTAGCTGCAGTGCAAGCGAGACAAACTATACACACACATATATATATATCCCCAAGTCCCCTGGCCCCTGCATGCAGCGGAGCCCATAGCCACTGCCCTCCTGCACACCAACCCCCTGCCCACCAACCCCCCCCAAAAAAAAGAAATTGTACCAGCCTCATCGCTGGTTTTAGTTTTGTCTTTCCAGGTGAGTGGAAGATGCTTACCACTTATCCTATGGACACAAATATGATGAAAATGGATGAATGGCAAGCACACTGATTACAACAATTGATGGACACCAGTTAAGTGGCCCACCACTACAAACCAGTGCATGGCTAAAGTGATTCAAAGCACGCAGCACATCATTTGCTGAACTTCTCCAACGTCACTGCCCAGCTCTGCTTCTCCTTGAAAGTCTGAGCAAGCTCTGGTGTGCATGAACTTCAGCAGTTTATGTGGATGATCGGTCAGGGGGAAAACTGCTCAATAGTGTCGATGGCCAGAGAGCTATTGCTTTGAGATCTCCAACCCATCACACCTGATTTTCCACTGTGGCTTCTTGTGCTTTACTCCCTGAGATGGTATTAGGCATCAAACCGCAGAGCAGCTCAGTTTTACTTGACTCCGAACTCCCCTCCAAACTGTACGTGAAAGTCAGTCCTTTCTTCACTCAGATCCCACCCAGACACTCACAAGGACAGCGCTGACAATGAATTTGAGAACACGCTGGAGCTAATGCATTTTTATGTGTGACAGACGCAGCTTCTTTTTTGCTAAATGAAACATCTGTGGTGTTTACAATTAGAACTTTATTATGCTTAACAACTTAATATTGAAACACCATATGAGCTGTCATAATATTGTTACCAATATTATCAGGAGCTCTTAAACAAATGAAGTTTGTGCCCAGCTGAGAAAGGATGGCAGCAGGGCCAGATCGCTAATTAGCAGGTCCCAAAGGCAGCTGGTTGCTGTTAAAGGCAGTAAGGTGAAGGGGCAGGGCAGCAAGCTCTTCTTATCTTTGTCCAGCTGCCAAAAGTTTAGTTATTAAGATCTCACACGTTCCTGGCAACAAAATGAATCAAGCTTTCCCTGAGGTTACGTATAATACAGTGCTTTCAGAGGCTAAAGTTTGCTTTGAAGTCACAGATTCAAAATCTACGTACATCATCCTTCAATTGAAATTATAATTTCGATTTCTACAGGTCTATGATACTTTGGAACCTGCAACTGTTACTGTGCAATCGAACTCACAGCATTCTATTACACTGAAGACATAAGATGTTTTTATTCAGGTAAGCCTGTAAGAGCCTCTTTTCAAAGTGTTGAACTGAAATTAAAATTTGAAATGTGGAGCTTAGTGTAAAATCAGGAATGGCTTCTGAGGTCTGAAAATACATAAAGAAACTTTATTTCACTAAGTGATAACTCCAGTAAATAGCTCATACAAATTAAACTTGATTTATTTTGGGGATTATCTAATAACTATTAGATACAATGAATGCATTTAATATAGGTCCTTAAAAGTTAGTATTTTAACTGACCAGTCACTAATATGTTATCTCTGTTTATGTGACAGCAATGAAGAATTTTCAAACGTATTGTGTTACCCTATGAATTATCTTTTATGAGTCAATATTTGCTCTGATTGTTATGTTAAAGTAGTACACAAGAAGTGTCAACGACAATCAAAAATGACTTGTTCTTTACAGTTAAGAATATTTCTAGAATCTCTTCTCTTTGGTCAGAGTATTTCATTTTTAACACTTTTGATTTTGTACGTTTAGCTACTTTAAACATGTATGTTTGATTTTAACAGACATAAGGTAAAACAGGATAAAGAAACGCATGACAGTCAATTTACAAATGCCGATTTTTGTTTTTTAGTACTATCAAACTAGTTTCTTTCCTGCAGCTGGCATTTAAAAGTCTATAATGAAAGCAATAGGTATGTCAGTAGAAAGCAGGGAGACAGCTATTCAAAATCACGGGTGGCCACAGGGTCTTGACAGAAATCTGCTTCCTTCAGTGTCTGCAGTTCTAACTGAGCCATGTTGTAAAATGTGAGCAGCCTACAACAGAAACCACTACCAACAGACATTTTCAGCAGCTTTTTAAGAGTTACTCCTGTTTCCTTTCAACACTAATATAACGCAGAATAAAATAAGGAATGACTTTTTGACTGGGAACGTTCAACTAGTTGCTAAAAGGCCGTGCCCTGTGCTGCATGCTTAAGACCCAAGAACCACTGCTGTCAGGAAGCTCCCTGTCAGACTGTGACATGTCCTGGGACTTGGCCATCTCAAGTTTATGCCATTGTTCCCTGTCATACAGTCTAAAGGAAAGTGGTCTCACAAGAAAAGCAAGCAACTGTGGGTCCAGGTCAGCATTTCTCAAAGAAAATAAAAATTAAGCTTACTGACCAACAGTAAACAGAAACTGCTGACTAGTCATATTTTGCTATCCTTTGGCAGGGCCAGAAATACTCTAGCAGAATGAATCCTCTTGGACGATGATATACTGACAGTAAATTGAGTGGACTGTTGTAGGTCAGCATGCAGAGAGCATAAATTGGCATTCCCACTCTTGTTACCCCTTTTCTGCTATTCCACCATAGCCTTACAAGGACTTGAGTATAAACAAAATGCACTGTAGCTGCATCCTGTGTCCTGCTATGCTTTGTGTTTTGCCTGCATTTAATGGCTCTTAGTGAGATTCAACATTGGAGACCAGGGAAGATGCGATTGTATGCTGGGACCCAAATGGTAACCCACAGGATGCATTGGCAGAGTGGACAAGAAGTGAGAACTTGAATGAAGCTATTAATGAGCATCAGGATGAAGTAATATCTTGCTTCTTTTAGTGTCTGGAGAGCATGAAATGCTTTGCTGAATATAGAATTAATTTGTCACAGAAAGTAGAGGAAGTCTATTCATTCCTACCCCTTAAAAGGATGTAGACAGCTCTGCCAAACAGCTGCAGGGGAACTCTTCAGTCATGGGCTCGTTACTAGGGGCAAACCAAAATGCTTACATGAACTCTAGTGTTCACACTCAACGCTGTGAAACACTGGAACATAAGCACTTGGCTAAAGATAGCCTTGGCCCCTTGAGACATACAGATGCTTCCCGAGTTTCTTTGCCTTGACATGGTATGTGGTGGAATAGCGCTTCTGCCCCTTTGCCCCTTACAGAAACACACTTGAAAGAAAGCTGTCTTCCTCTCAGCTTTTATGTCCCTCATGTCCTGATGCAGAAAATGGACCTTGAACAAATAAACAGGCAGCTCTAAAGATAGGATTTGGGGGTAGCCTTCAATTCCATAAGCAAAGGATACAGAAAGCTTGCTGCTACTATTTTAGTCTCTGCAGCAGAACACTGACTCTTTTCTGAAGAATCTGAAACATCTGTGTAAATAAACATAAACAGGACAAAACTGTTCTTCCCCCCCAGGTTGTCTCTTCCCACAACATCCCACTTAGGGAAGATGCAAGAATGACTTTTCAGACTGCAGAGCCCTCAGGTTAGTCACTCTACATCTGGGGAATGAAGGGGTACTGCCAGGCTGTAGTATAGAGATGACACTCCAAGATGACTGATTCAAGGAAAAATATGGTATTTGAGAGGATCATGCTTGCTACTCACACTGTGAACACCCAGCGCCTTCCAGATGGCAAAACTCAGCAATCCAACTCCGCACCAGGCATAGAGTGAGCCCCATCCTAGGGCTCGTAAGGCCAGTGATGAACCACTCTCTGGTAATGCAGCTGTGGCAGTCATACCCTAGGAGCAAAAACAGAGTGATCAAGGCAACTTGAATGATAGTTGATTTAAATAATAATAACAAAAAAAAAAAAAGTTTAACTTAGTGCTCTTTCCTGTCCTGCCAGCTGTAGTAGTGTGGCCACAGAAGCTCTTGTTATGGATGGTGGCAGGCCCAAACAGACACAAAGTAGGTGTATAAGCTGCTTTCTCACAAGGAACAGCTTTCATGGCTACCAGTAGCACCTGGGGATGATTTTTATTACCCAGAAACATCGAAATGAAGTGTTTCATGAGCACAAGAATCTGGCAGGTATCCCACCACTCAAAATACGAAACTGGCTCAGGATCAGAACCCCAAAGTGGATCAAAAGCCCTCATGCTACAAACATCAGAACATAATCATTTTACAAAACTGATTTTGGTACTTTTTACTGGGGGAGGAGAGGAAGAGTATGAGTAGGTCAAGGCCTTCAGTCTATTATGTTTTTACCTGCACTCCTAAAGTAGCGAATGAGAAAACTGGATGAACCTATGTAGCTTTCAGTTTGAGGCAGAATGTAACTGTGACTGAAGGACTGATTTTTGAGAGGCTGAATTCTGAAGGAGGTCTAGAAACTGTTTAGGAATTTTTTGAAAAGAATAAGCAGCAACGTTAAACCCCATCCCCTGCGGAGTTCACTAAGTGGTAACAAAGATAATGCTGTTCAGTGTTCATACTTCCATTTTTCTCAGAAATAAGAGTGGGTGTTTTTACAATTCTGCTCCTTGAGAGTCTTCCATGAGATGTGTCCTGAAAACAAAAACACTTGGGGATGTCATCTCAGGCCAAGAAGAAAGGAGCCTCAACCACAACTGAGTCCCAACCACGATGAAACCTTTTCAGTTGCAGCACATCAGGGCACAGTGCAGCTATGAAGTGCACAAACGCGTGCTGGCTTACATCAATCAATTCACACCATGTGTTTGCTGCTAGCGAGCCGTTCTCGGATCACACTGCCCACTTCTCTCTACTTATCTGCTGCAGGAGAGCTGCAGTCTGTGTAGCCTATAACAGCAGTAGGATGTAATCCTCTCACTCCTAGTGGTAAATGTCAGTAAAAGGGTTTTTTTTTTTTTTTTCCCCTCAGAAGGATCACTGTTCAATTCTTCACATAGAAACATAGATTTAAGAAGATAACAACTAAAGACTGGCATCTGTGGTCCTCACACAACTGAATAGTCCTACTTACTTACTGGGTATTAAATAAAAAAAATAATAAAAACAAAATAATTATTGCTCAGAGGTAAAGTAATGAGAGTACAAGCATACAAATATAATCAGTAAAGAGTTCTTTCACTTGTAGTCTAAAATGTGGAAGTGACTAAAAATTAACTTGTGGGAAGATTTTAAACTAAAAGAGGGGTAACTTACACTATATGTTAGGAGGAAATCCTTCACTGTGAGGGTGGTGAGGCCCTGGCACAGGCTGCCCAGAGAAGCTGTGGATGCCCCATCCCTGGAGGTGCTCAAGGCCAGGCTGGATGGGGCTTTGGGCAACCTGGGCTGGTGGGAGGTGTCTGGAACTGGGTGGGCTTTAAGGTCCGTTCTGACCTGAGCCGTTCTATGAAAGATCTGACACGTTCTAGAGGAAAATTATTTTAAAGAACTGCATTTCTCTGTTTATCACAAAAGGTAGAAAAAATCTTTTGCATTCTCTGTTAGGACTTTTTTTTTTTAATTGCTCTTCTTTGATAAAGTTTAGCACATGAACAATGCTTATCAGTGTGGTATTTGATCAGTGAAGAAGCATCAATATTTTTTTTTCCTCTTGGCTTTGTATTTATCAAAATGTTGAAATGATCCTAAGATACTGCTCAGTATTAACACTTGTCCTTTGGATTTAGTTCTAGGCAGTTACCAAGGACAAATACACCCTTGCAAAGGGCATGAGCAAAATCTCTCTTGATCCTTATTTATTCTGATTTGGACATCCCCAAAGTGGAAGCTGGTAACAAAACAGTGCTCTGTAAGCATGTGTGTATACATACACATATGAGCATGGACACCAACTTGGGAGATCTCTAGTTACACCATTAAACCACGTCCTATTATTTCCTTACCACAGCTAATGAACTTTCTTAACTCCTTCAGTAGAGATTGTGTTGAGTAGATCTAAAAACGCTGATGATTATTTCTGATGTTTTCCTGCCTCAAGAGTCTAAACATACACAACATGTAGAACTTCTCCCACTTGGAAGATGGAAAAAGAATGGACAAAAATAACCTCTACACAGAATCTTTAAATAGAAGTCATTATCCGTGAAAATTGCTGGCAAAAAAAACTCGAATGCTATTTAAATGCTTGATTGTCCCAGAAAAAATAAGTGCTATGTAGAAACAGTTGACTTGGTTTTACTGACAGCAGTCAAACCGTGTTTGGTCAAAAGCTTGATTATTCGGTGTTATTAAATATAAAGATCTCTGTAAACACCACAATTTGTCATATGATTATCAAATACTGTGTTCAAAGCATCGAGAATCCTGATTAATGAAATGCTTAAAAAAAAAAAAGATGACAAGAGTAAACTAGTATGATATCATGGGAGAAAAAGGCATCACTAACAAAAAGAACATTTTATTCATAAACCTGTTATTCTATGTGCAGATTATTTTCTCTTCATTACTGCTCCTATACCAGAAAAAAGGATAACTCTTTGATTTAAGAAATCAGCTATTAACCAATGCCAAAATATATGCTCCACACTGTATTTTTTTTTTTTCTGGAAAAACAAGCAGGAACTGGGAGAAAAAGAAATGACTTTTTTTTTCCAGACCCAGGCCTCAATCCTGTAAACGTTCTCTTGTGTATATGAATGTATCTGAAAGGAAGCAGTGCTTAAAATAAATGAATGTTAAGTTCAACTGCTTTGGTTGACTGTTCAGGGTGTTCACTGCTTTATATGACCTAACCCACTGTAAAATTAAACACCTGACTAAATGCTGGTAAAATTGGATGCTTCTCATAGGGAAGCTGCTGCATATGACCATTTAATTTTAACACACACATCCCAAAACAGAATTTCTTAATTGAAAGCCTCTGCAGTCATTCACAAAACAGGACTATGTAGCCTCATTTCAAAGTAAATATGGGGCTCTGGTTCTACAAATTCTTATGATACTTAGTTAAGTCCACTGTCATGAAGGAGGTACAATAAGTTCAATTTCAGCTTTATCTCTTGCCAGTAACATTGATGCCATTCTGTTAGACTAGGGTCTCATACTGTTGCTTTCTCAAAATATGAAAACAATCATGATGCTGTGATGCTACAACTCCTCCATTAAATTGCTATTTTTGCTCCCATCAAACTATTTAAATTGGTCCCAGACCATGTCACATTTGCTTGTTTCTACTCCGACTTGTATGCTGTGGTTTCACTGGCACAAAAGATACCACAAACCAGCAAAGATGCTGAAAGAATGGGTATTTTATTTCTTTCCAGCATTAATTCTGGGATGGTTGGGTTACTTCTTTGAACAGCACTGCCAGCTTATGTTTGCCTGACATACCTGCCAAGCTATGGCCTCATCTTAAATGGAAAAAAATACTGTTTAGACATTAAGCATCTAATAAGGATGCGATCATCTTTAGGTATTCATAGGTACACTTCTATTCTTATACATAATGTGTTATTAAATATAATAGGCAATGACCTGCAGTAAGTCTACATTTAAATAAGAATGCTACCGCAAAACTTTACCTCTTTGGTAACAAAACCTCAGAGAGCCTCTACAGATGTTCTCCAAGTCTAGTCTTCCCTTTTGAAATTGCTCACCTACAAGTGCCCTGACAAAATACCTTCTTTCTACACTTTGCAGTATTAAAGTTAAGGGACCCAGGAATCATATTTTTTTCCTAGCAAACTGCTGAAATTCATTTGCGCAGATAGTAACAGATACTGGTTTTCAGTAAAAGTTTAAATGGTATGTATCGTATGGAGCCACTTCCAGCAAATGTATTTTAGGATGTCAATGTAATGTCACTCTTGATTAAATCAAGACAGGTCTGACAGCCAAGAATATACAATATCTGGAAAAATGCCATGTCCAAGATAAAGGACTTTAAAAAAAAAAAGTTAAAAAATAGAACTTCTTTATTGTAATACATTCTTATAACTAGTGGAACAGTGTTTTATTTTTTTCATATTATGTATTCCACATCTTACAGGCTTTCTGCCTCTCCATCCCACTGTTACTCCATGGTTTCCTCTCTTCCCAGTTCATGATAGCACCACAGGACTGCATGGTAAGTTGGATCGCTGAAGCTCATGACTGAAGGATGTTCACATCACAGGATAAAAATAGATCATCGATTACATTGCGTTGTATAGCAGTAGTATGATTAAAGCTAACAGTGTAAGCTTAATGTTGTTTTATTTCAACTAATCTCAAGCACTAAAGTATTTAGCAGCACCAACTCTGAATTGATTTTTTAAAACTATTACTACTCCTAATGACTTAATTGAAGGTCTAGAGCTCTTACCGTCAACTTTGGACAGCCAAGTTCTACATGTACTGACATTTTTATAAGCAATTTTTTGCATTTTTTTTCTGTGTATCACAACTGGAAAACAGTTTAAAAGGAACAAACCTTACTGAACCAGTTTGGATTCTTCTTTTTTGTCATGGCAAGTGTGGTGCCAAAACCTGCTATCATTCCTGCTGTTGCAACAGTACCCAGAAAAATTCCACCTGCCGAGAAAAGTTTAAGAAATAAAAATTAAGATTTTGTTTTCTAGGGTGAAAAATAGTAAAAACCTGTTTTGAAAATAACTGAAAAATGAGAATCTGTCAGCATGTGCTGAAGGGAAAGGATGTTGTCCAAATTATTTACATTAACCCAGTACAGCGAGTAGGACAATTATTTTTGAAATAGAGGACTTTGACAATGCATAGCAAGTGTTTATTTGTGAAGCATGGAATGCAGAAGTCTTTTTGCATCCCAGAATGCCTTTTCACAGTACTTCCAAATGTCCGCTGCTCCCTCAGCAACCTCTCTCACTCCAGAGCCAGGCTACTAAAATCATCTTGGTCTATCACTGTGCCTTGCCCTTCTCCAGAGGAAGATGTGTGCAATTCTTCTGCTGCACCATTTGATACTTTAAAGAGACATCCGAGAAATCCGTGAGTACCTCAGAAAACCATTCTGTAAGCAACACTTCCTTGGTTTTGTCTGTTTTCTGTTCTAATGCTCTATTTCAAAATAATAATAATAAAAAGGCATGAGCTTTCCCAAGACACAGAGCACCCCTCACTTTCAGTTCTTCAGTGTTTCCAAAGTTACATGGGGTCCATTGGTCCCTCTGCTTCTTGCATCAGAAGGGCATGTGTAGCCACAACCAGACTGCTTTTAAGAGAAAGATGCACCACAGGCTGGGTGCACTGCACAAAAGCATCTGGTTCATACTGAAATCCCCTCTTTAGGGGGCTACTCGTTCTTATTTTGTGACCAAAAAGATAAACTGCAGTCAGGTTTAAAAATAAAATGGCCTGAATAGAAAGCAAGATGCAAAACATTCTTATGTTAGGTATAATAGCCTAAAAAATTAATTAGGCTGTTACTGTTGATGGGGAAGTTTGCTGTGATCATGTCACTGAAGCACATGAGGTACCTCAGGCAGTGCCAGCACGCGGGACGCCCGCTGCCTTTTACACTTCAGGGTCTACTAACCAGCAACCTGGTTGTGATTTTTTTTTCCCCTGATTTCGGAAACAACCACGGGTTTTTATCAGCCCCTGCCCTCAGCAGAGGCGGACCTCCACGCGTGCCTGGGGCCGGGGCCTCCCCTCAGCGCCCCCCGGGGCAGCGAGTGCGGGTCTCCAGCCCCGCCGGAGCCGGAGCGGCAGCGGGGGCGCCCCGGGGAGCTCCGCTCCTCGGCCAGGGCCAGCCCGGGCCGGGGCCATCCCGGGCCGGCTCCTCCTCGCCACCGATCCCCGCACCTTTGATGAGGAAGACCTCGTCCTGGGCGGCCGCGGAGCTCCCGGCGCCCCGGGGCAGGGCCGGCCCCAGCCCCGCGTCCAGCGGAGCCGCCGCGGCGCCCTGCGGGGCGTCCCCCATGGCCCGGCAGGAGGCGGTGGCGATGGCTAACCCGGAAGAGAAGGAGGAGGGCAGGGACAGGCAGCCGCTCTTCCTCCTCCTCCTCTTCCTCCTCCAGCCGCTGAACACCAGCCTTTTCTGGCAAGGAGGCGGCCGAGCGCAGCCCTCCCCCCCCCCCCCGGGTGTTCCCTCCCCGGCTTCCCTCAGTGCACCTCCCCGTGAGCCTCTGGAGTTTGTACCCGAGCGGCTCACTGCGGGGGATTGGGTTGCTAGGCGAAAAATGGAGTATTTTGGGAAACTTCCTGGTCGCAGGGCTTGTGAAAGCCAACCCGGAGCCTTTTCTGGCAGGGCGTGTGCTGCGCCGGCTGCACGGCGTTTGGGCATGAAGGAGCAGCTGGGAGAGAAACACGAGCTCAGTGTGTGTGTGTGTGTGTGTGTGTGTGTATATATATATATATATATACACATACATATATAATAATTATTTTCGTAGCTTAAGGCAGAAGTGTATACGGTTATATAAAGTATTTAGATGTCATTAGTATGCATAACACTAAAACAACAGCATACATAGATTTTGAGTGTAAATTGTGCCCAGATCACCCAGATATCTGCAAGGAGAATCATTGAACTGTCGGGATAATAACCTCTTTTTTTGTCCTTGATGATAAAGTCCTGGATTTTCTTTTCAAGATAGTTTTTTTGAGTTCACATCAATCAACACATCACTTTCTTTCAAATCTCCAGGACAAGGGAGAAAGATGAGAAAAGGAATAATGGTGTTATTTAATCTTGGTTTGAACAATGCCAGGAATCTATCTTTAAGAGAGTCAGATAAGATCTGTCTCTATTAATCATTCACAAAGACTTAAAGTAGGGCATAAAACCCATGAATCCCACTCTGTCTTGCTGAGTAACTTAAAATTCCTAGTGTTGTAAAATAAATGGTCTTGCTTAAAAAAAAAAAAAAAAAAAAAAAAAAAAAAAAAAAAAAGTTCAGCAGAATTGTGTCCATCTGGTTTGCAATATCAATCTTTTCTTGTTCTCCTTTGAAATATAATTTACACAGAAGCCTTGCGTTTTCTCTTCTTATTCCTTCTCAGTCACTGTTACAGTACACAAGTGAACAGACTGTAGCTACTCAGAATTAACCTGTTGTCTTTTCTAAAGTTGTTATCTTTCTCTAAAACCAGACATTTTTCTGAAAGACTGATTTTTATGATTCTAGTATCAAATATTCGAATCTTCCCAAAACGAGGGCATGAAAATGTATATGCAAATAAGGTTATATAGGTGATGGTAGGATTGAAAAATGCATTACTTTTTACTAATCTAATTTGACTACAAGCCTGAATTTAGACAACATCAGTAAATGATAATTGCGAGGTTCAGGCACTGTGTGCATGTTTAATATTTGTTAAAGTTTGCAATGGCCAGGATGCCAAGTTTCACAGCAAAGCAATTGTGGATGGTAGACTTCCTTCTGTGGTCTTCTTTGATTATAAAAAAGAAATAGTAAGGCAAAAGCAGACGGTATGAAGCAAAATTTTCAGCTTCAAAGTATGTGTAAATCTGCATCCATGATTCTGAAGTTGTGTTTAGGATTTTTACATCAACCCTTGGGTTTTCATGAAAAATTTGTAACACAGTGCCTCTCTTAAGGAATTTCATAAAGCATACAGTATTTATGAGGGTGAGGTATGGAAACACAAAAAGCAAGAGCACAAGGAAGAAAATAAATTTAAGAAATATACAGAAGAAACAGGTTTGCATAAAGACATCCCCTAAGTTTTATGGGTTTTGTTGTTGTTTTAAAATAATCCTTGTGAATATGTGGTGTTCCTGCCTATAAGCAGCTAACCCAAGAAATAAGAACACTGTGTGCAAACTTCTTAACATAATGCTGCAAAATATTTCAGTCCTGGCCTGTGTTTCTCCTGCTCCATGTCCTCTTATGAGCAGACAGATGGCTAATTGTGCAGGAGTGCACAGTGACAGGAGAACACCAGCAATTCACGCTGAGGGCTGGTTTCACTTGAGGACCAGGGTTGACATCCAGATCTTTAGAAGAGAAAGAGCTAGTTTATAAGCTCACTGGGACAAAATAAATATATTTACTGAACTACCCAACTGTCTGATAGTATGTATTCAGAGCAGCCTTCAGTGCCACTGCAGAGGAAGTTGGCAGATGAAACACAGCATCAGGCTTGGAGATAGAAAATCCAATTCAAAGCTTACAGGAGGTTGATTTGAATACTGGTTAAAATGACATGTTCGCTAACAGAATTTAATTATGTAAAAGAATTTTAAAAGGAGCCAAATGCTGGTTTTGGAAGGAGAGAAAATACAGCAGTTGAGCTGCTTGTTAGCTCTTGGGTGAGTTGAGTCTTGCTCTTTGACTGAGTTGGGTCATTTCCTGTATTTATGAAAGCTTTGATATTCCTGAAAATACAGGGCACCCTTAGCTTTGTGTACAGAAGGAGGCATGAGGAAGCTGGTTAAGCATTTCAGATCAATTTTCTGGTCTATTGGACAAGAAAGGGAAGCATTCTGCAACTATGATTTTGTTTCTAGCGTAGTTTCTGGTTTTATGGTAATAAGAAATAAGCTGGTTACTGTTGTGCCTTTCTTTAGACTTTGGTGTCTGAAATTCACGTGCTGAGAGTAAGTCCTCAGATCTCTTTTAGGAAAGATCTGGCCACTGAATAATGATTTATAGGATTTAGACACAGATATCCTGACAAAGTCAGTGATCATTTGTCAGATAGAAGAACAATTATAGTAAGAGCCTTGCATCTGAGAAACAGAAGACGCTTCAAAAATATTGATTGAGCTAGCTTCACAGATTTATGTGAGGGGTATTTTTCCATTTAGAGAAGAGGAAGTGAAGAAATCAATCGGTTTGCACAAAGTTTTGCTGTAGTTCTTTGGCAAAAGAATAGGCTGGGAAGATGGATCCCTAGATATCTGGTCATCCCCTTCAGCACTAGTCTGCTTTTCTACCTTACTGTTTACTTCTGCAGAAGATAAAATGATTCTTTTTTTATTTCACTTTTTGGTTATTCGGTAGCTCAGGCTTAACCTAGGACAAGACTGACTGTTGCATTGACACCACAGTGTCCTGTATTTGTAAGGCCAGAGCCTGGCCACAGTTCAGTAAATGGCAGAAGTCCCACTGGCAGTGTGGCCAGAGCTCCAGTTAAAAATCCCAAATTAGCACTCATGTGATGACATTAAGGCTGATCAGAGGCACACTGCACATTTCAGAGATGTTGATGTCACATGTTGGGGCTGTCACATGTCTTGGACCGTGTTCGTGTGGCTCTGCAGAGATGGGGACATTTGGGGAGCTCCTGGGGAGTGATGACTTGCATTTGGGGCTTCAGGAGATACAGGTTTCTGGGGGATGGTTCTGAGGACATCTCAGGGGCTTCTTGCACATAAGTGTTTCTACTTATTTTCTGTTCTTATCCCTTACTAAACTACATGTTTTATTACCTGCTCAATGTTTAGAATGCTCTTTCTCTGAAAATGAAATATGCCCTCGTCTCTTTGGCTGTGCCCACATTCCCTTCTTAACTACAGAAACAAATCATAGATCCTTCCCCAATTCCTGTGATGCTACCATTGCTTTAGGGGCCTAACAAATATTTATGAGCTCTTATTTTTTTTTTTAATTATTATTATTTTTTGTGGGATACCATGTCTTTAAGGATTTCAGTATGTATTTCATTACAGAATGAAATATTATCTATCAACTTTTATAATTATTTTGCAGTGCTAGAAAAGCCTTTAACATGGCCCAGAGAAAAATGTATGTCTGATTAATTTAAAAAAAAGAAAAAGCAAAAAATAATTTATTATTGCTGTGGTGCCCATAAAGCATGGTCTGGGACTTCAGACTCAGCCACTCTGCCTATATGTCTGACCTGAGGTAACAAAGGTGGTCTGGTAACAAAGGTTAGATGGTGAGCTGTTGTCACCTGGCAATAGCCTGGAATCAAGGTTTTCTGTGGAGAAAAGTCTGTGGACAGAAGAGACCTCTTGGTGACAGCGCAATATGTAGGGTTATGTATCCTGTGTGTGTGTTTCCAGCTGTGGGCTTCACTGGGTACCTCCGAGTCCACCACTCAAACAGGTCCCCACGACCGTCCCTCATGAGGGCAGTCGGGCTCAGATTAAAGTTAAAGCCCTGAGCAACCTGGCCTGAGCTCTCAGCTGACCCTGCTTGGAGAGGAGGCTGGGCTGGAGACCTCCAGGGTTCCCCGTCACCCTGGGCGGCTTGGTACAGCCGGCACATTCCCCTGAAAACCCAGCGTGAGTTAGTCAGAGAGGCTGCGTAAGAGTGGCAGCAAACTTGGCTCGTTTTCATCTGATTCAGATCTAACTCACCAAATTATGATGCCTTCCAGTGCCGGGGGAACACACTACCATCATGGGCCAACGCTCAGCAGCAGGAGCATCTCCAGGGCCATTTTCAGAAGTGGATGATGTCTGGATGGGCCAGGAGGAGAGCTGCTGTGCCCAGCCCATGCCACTGGGTGTCCTCATGAGGCCAGCTACACTGGTCTGGGGGCCTTCGGCGGTGGCACATGTTGCAAAACACACGGGAAAGGGATTGGGCTGGTGTTTTATTTGTCGTTGGGCGATGGCCAATATCAAATTGACTCATATAGTACATCACCCGCCGAGAAACCCAGCCACAAAATTAATTGGCATGAATATGAAATGTATACTTCTCCTAATCAGCTTCAGCGAAGATTATATCCAAAGGCCCTTTTTGCGGTCATTCACAGAGCTTAATTGCTATAGTTAATATTACAATTAAAAAAAAAGGCCTGGGAGGAGAGCTGAATATTAGGCTCATGATGAATGATAATTATCACTTTGTGTAGATGGGTGAAAAACGTTTCTAATTAAATTATTCTTGTAGCATAAATTAATAGTGTGATCTGGATAAAGCGCTTTTGATTTCCCATTTAGAGTATTTCTAAAAGTGCCACGTTTGTGCCAGAATTTCAGTCTGTAGGTCAACCTGCCTTTTAAAAATACCTGACTTCTCAGTGAATTTAGTTGCTTATCACAGCTTTCTGCAGTGATGTTCTGCAATAATGGGATGGTTCAAACATTGCACAGAGAATAAAATCAACTATGCAACTAATAGTTCTGTGAGCTGGGGAATTCATAGCATAATTGGCAGGGTTTCATAGCATAACTGTCACATCTTATTCCTATAGCAATTTCATCTCTGTCTGAGGATTTTTGCAAGACACAAACCATTAAGCTAATACTCTAAAAACAGGAAAGCTCATTAGCAGCTCTAGGGAAGGGGGTGAGATGGGTGCTGAAGGTGCCGGTCATTAAGGTCTGAGAGAAAAGGAAGTGTGAAAGTTGCTAGGAAGAATTACTCTACATGCACTCTGCCTGTGCTCGGGAAAAATCCCATCATTTTTGTATACCTAGCATTTCTTCCTCATCAGTGAGAGCCACAGTGAGTAAAGCAAACAGGCCGATGTAGCGGGCTCAGCTGAAAGTGTCAGCCTGCACTTCAGGCAGTGGATTACAGATAATGACTCTCAGATGACCAGTAGCTCCGTGGCCTAATATATACAGCTTACTTGTTAGGTGTTGACAGCAGCCTTTTCCAGCAGGCCTCGGTAGACATTCATTTTAAGTTTCGAAAGTGACTGTCCCTGCCTGCAACAGGCCGTTTTTGAAGGTTATAAGTGGGAGATAGATGGCCACTTTCTGTCAAGATAATGGGAATTTTGTGTCAGAGCCCTCTCCGTGCATACGGAAGACTGTCCCTGGGATTTTCTGCATGCATGCCCTCTCGTGTATGCAGTACATTAGCGCTTACTGTATATATCAAAATTTGGCACTGCTGTATCTCTCTAAACATTGCATTAATCCATCTGTCTGTCACCATAGTAACAAGGCTCCCTATTGATGACTGAAGACGAGCTGAACCATTACAACTAAATGTGCATGGTTAAAAAGAAGTGAGGAAGCTCACTTGGTGTGAGCTACAGGGACACTGTGGACATATGGTAGAAAATGGGCTAATTAATGCTCTCTATGCATTATTTTTATTCATGGTCATCCTAAATAAAGCCTATTGCTAAAACAGTCCTTAAATCTGATCTTTGCTTGCTCACATTTACTTATTACAATTTCTGAAGAAGTCAACATTAAAAAATGTGTATTTTTTCAGAAGTTTACATGTTCTGTGGTACAGATATCTCCCAGAGGGTGGAAAGATGAAATGAATAACTTAAAGATCCCAAGTACAAAGCAGACCAGAAATGTTGCTGAATATTTCACGGCACATATTCTCTCTCTCTCTCTCTCTCTCTCAATTCCATGCTTGTAACATTGCCAAAGTAAAATCAGTAAAGTGCATGCATTCATTAAAGGATCAATGTCTAACTGAACACTGGTAGTTAGTTGGACCTGAGATTTTTTTGAGAACCATAATGTTGTGGAAACTCTGACATGAATTACTGTACTTTGTAAATCATTCTTAGACAATGAATTTCCATTTTTTATTACTCTGGCGCCATGCATGCTATTAATGGTAGACTCGAGTCTATAATTCTATTAGGCTATAAAGAGGTCTTTGGTTTTAGACCAGAAATAAAGCTTAAAACTAACCACTGGCATCTCATCTCCTTCTGCGTTTGTTGGACAAGGCTTTTTGTTCTCTAGAAAAATGCTGTGTATTTTTTGACCCTCTGCAGACCTTCTTTTCTAAGCATCTCTGCTTTGCTCACAAAGTTAACACTTAAAGACAGCTACAAAATAGATAAAACAAGTGACTAGAGAAAAAAAAAAAAAAAAAAACAGGAATACTTAATTTTAGAAGCGCTTTGCAGCATTCACAGAACTGAAAGTATGATTAATTAATTATTTTTTTTAACGTCAGGATTTCCAGCTCTTTGAAATCTGTTTTAAGCTACGGCCCTGTTACAACAAGCCCTTGGGTCAGGATGTGGCTGACCAGGCCATTTTATCTGCCCCACAGGAGCCTCATTAGTCAGGAGGTCAGCTGGGGGCATTGCTCCCAGCATGAGGGTGCAGGCTGCATGCACTTGCCCACGTGCTGGATGGATGTGTATCAGGTACATTTTATGACATCTGGTGTCATGCCGGGCAAACACAGGGATTTTGCTCTGTTAGAGGGTATATGAATCCCCAGAAGGTCTAAGTCAGCTGGACCTATTTGACAAAACAGAGAGGTGCAGAAACTTCCAACCAGCCTAGGGTTTCTGATTCACTGCTGACATTTCAAGTGCTTTCTGCTCAGCAAGAGGGAGGGAGGAAACAAAAAAAAAACTAACAAAACCTCTTCAGATGAAGACAGGTGATCTCTTGAACTGATAGGAAAGAGTACTGCTGCCTGATATGAAGTAGAGGAGAGTTGCAAGGAAGAAGGAATAACTGAAGAGAATCTTCCTAGTTTTATCTTTGACAGAAAATTAAACATTAATTCTGAAATTTATAAATTCCAGGGTTGTAGCATTTGCTGCTCTGGATGGACAGGGACATGACAACCTTATCTGGCCTCATATATCTTTGGGGGTACAAAAGTAGCACCTAGACATGCAGATGATGTCTACTGGTGATGTACACTATAATCTAGCTTGCCTTTGCTCAACATAGTACTCCACCTCCATCCCTGGGTGCAGCAGGCCCTCCAGGACAGCAAAGAGCTACAGCCACAGCCACAATTTCTCAGACTTCCTCTAGCAAGCTAAGCTTTCAAATGTTCAAGCAGCAGTGTAACATATGTTCCCCTAAAAAAATGAATTTCAATCAGTTTATTATATAAACAATCTTACAGTACAGTCAAATGGAGTTGCTAGGGATGGGAGGAACTTTGGTTTATACTTACAAAAATATACATTTTAGTAACTTTTAAATTGTTAACCATTGGGCTAAAATACAAAATTTAAAAGCCTTACCAATTAAAAACTTCAGTATTCCCTCTCTAACTCAATATTGAATAAAGCATATATTTAAAAAAAAAAAAAAAGCAACAAGTGTTTTTAATAATTTTTAGAAATTACAAAATCTGTGGTTTCTTTTAAGCTGAATTTTGCAAAATTTCACTCTCCAGTGAATTCCTTTCCCTCTTGAAAACTCTTGAAATCTAAAAACTTCCTTCAAACCATACCATTGCAATAAAAACTCATTTCAAATCCTGACCTAGCACAAGAGAGTTATGTCCTTGCCAGCTGTATTTCTGTCTTCAAGCTATGCAGTACTTATGTCCTCTCACTACAGATGGGAGGAATTGAGTGTCTATAGGAGACATGCTTCTGCCCTGCCCATACGTTTGGCTGCTATTCATCTGAGATGGTGCTTGTTCACATCCATTTCAGTCCTCAGCCACTCAACAGAGAGAAGGGATTTCATGATCAAAGATTTTATTGAAGCAACACAGTACTGCTCTTTGTGTACTTGTTTTTTGGCCAGCTGGGATTCCTGCTGCAGCATTCCTATGTTTCCAGCTGTCTAATGCTGATGCCCTCTCCCAAAATTTAATTTTATCCTTGTGCTGTGTGAACTGTACTCCAAACGCACACAGAGGCATCTTTGGTGCATTTCAGGTAAATGTTCAGACTAACAGCTCCTGGGGATATCGGTCAGGCTGGACTTCAGGACCTATGTTGCCTCTTCCCACCTGGAATAGACGCTTCTGCTTCCACAGCATCTCCCCAGGCTGCAAATTGCATGTTCTAGGCAGGTACTAGGTGAGGACTTGGGGGGCTCTTTGCATTGCTTTCCCTGATCTCAGCTCCAGGGCTGACATCCTCGAGTGGGATGGCAGGGAATATGGGCTGCTTTGGTCCAGAAGGGGTACGGGGTGGGCAGCAAAGCAATGGGATACCGTCCACATGCCTGAGAACTTGGTCTTTGTTCATATATGAGCCTTGACCACAAGCTTTGATGCTGGCCTGTGCAAAGAGCATTCCTGAACCTGCCACCTGCTCAGAGATAGGAGGAGAGTTAAGATTATGATGGTTAAGGAGATGGAGAGTTGTATACTTGGGGTGGGTTGGTGTGGAGGAGAGAATCTGGTGCTTTTCATGACTTTGAGAGTGGGTGGGAAAAGAAAGTGGGGGTCTTTTTGTGCAAAGAGGTGCTTTTGTGTTCCTAAGGAGGAGCAGAGGAAGGAAGGAAATTTGTGCTCAGGACTGCTTGGAGGCAGCAGCAGTGCTGAGATGGATATATATGGACTGAAAGACATACACTCATGGGAATAATCCATATCTAAGAGTTCACCACCTCTTTCATACAGAGATACATCAGGTCACAGGGGTTCTTGCAAAGTGTAGGAACTGGCATCTGATGAGAGAAAGCAGGCCACGTGGACAGCGAGCTGAGGTCACGGTCACTTGCGACACTGCACATGTGCAGCTTGGCTGGGAAGGGGCACTTCATCCAAGATAAAAATGCTGCAATGCCTGAAATAAACACAGGCTTCCTGGCTTTGCAGAAGCCCAGGTTCTGCAAAGGGGGAGAGTGCCAGCTACCCACTTTGGAAGAGTGAAGAGCTGAAAATGACAATGATAGCTTCTCTCTTACTGCAATTATAAGCACCATAGAGAGGCAGCTGCTGGGAGTGTGAATCTCATCTTTTGTTCCCTGTAACAGGGGAATCCACACTGGGAAAAGAGCTGGCAACATTTTCAGTGTTGCTGAAGAAGGTTGTATGGGAATACAGGCATTGGACAGTGGCCTTGAAGATCTTGACTGCAAACAGACCCACCTTGGATCTGCGAAAGCTGAACTGCAGCAGCTGCCTCCTGAATATGCATGGGCGCCCAGATTGCTAGCGCTGAATGGCAGGTGCTAACTCAGACAGGCATCTTACATGTGGCTTCCTCTGGCCAAGAATTCTTGATTATCTGCTGCTCAGCTCAGATACAGAGCCCAGATATAGAGCCCAGCTATATAGCACGGTGCCATGAAGACTGTTGGTTTCCAAGATGCAAAACCTCATAAGTCATGAAGCATTGGTTGTTGTCCTCAGAACAGTAAATAAATGAATAAATAAAGAAACTCTACTTCATGTAAACGTAGAAGCTTTGGCAACATGTGGAGAGGTGACATCTGGGGATGACTTACCTGGACCTGGCAGGCTTGGAAGAGGCCTGAAATGCTGTCATGTTTTCCTGAGCTGTTGCACAAGGAGAAGGTACAGTGGCACCTGCAGCAAGGAAAACAACAGCAGGTGGGGTGTGCTCGCAGTGTGTGCTATGCAAAGGTTACCGGTGTGTGCTAGGCTTATTCTGAGCAACATGTTGTGGTTAGGTACTGTGGTTAGAGCAGACAATTGCTGAGTGTTCTGCATGGTGCATAATAAAGCTGTGGTAGGTAGAGAAAAAGCTGGTCTGTACCAGTTGGCCTGGATGAGAATCACAAAAAACAGGGGCTAAAGCAGGTTCTCATGAACACCATGAGCTACCTCTTCATGCCACTGGTAATTTGTTCCTTGACAGCATTCATGTGGACAACTCCTTCTGGTGCAGTTACTTCTGAAAGTGGAGAAATGCAGTTTTTTTACAGATGATACACCTCCAAGATTTTCTTCTATGTAATTTATTCCTAACAATCCACCTGCAACTTATCCCACGGGCTCCAGGTGCTTAATATTTCCTGTCTTGATATCATCGGCCCCTACTCCTCAGCTCTGAGCAGCCACCTGAAGCTTCAGCCATTGGCTTTACCGTCTCAGAGGCACACAGGGCTGACATCGTTTGCCTGAAGGACTCGGGCTTCTCATTACGTGTGTTTGGAAACTTCCTTCTTCTATGCATGCACACAGTTTATAAATTTCTACATGTAAATATCTATTGAAGTTATCTCAAAGTTAAAAGGGGAGCCTATTTACTAGTAAATGAAGCTCTCCAAACTCAGACATTCACACAAGCAACCCCCTCCTGCAGTGTCATCCGTCCGTTCCCCCCCCCCCCCCCCCCGATATTGATGGTCACTTGAGGTTCTGTGGCTGAGAGACAACTGACGTAGGGTCAGTTGTCTCTCAGCCACAGTTCCACCCAGTTCCACCCCCCTGCCATGGGCAGGGACACCTCCCACCAGACCAGGTTGCCCAAAGCCCCTATCCAGACTGGCCTTGAGCACCTTCAGGGATGGGGCATCCACAGCTTCTCTGAGCAGCCTCTGCTAATGCTCTCATCATGAAGAATTTGTTCCCTATATCTAATCTAAATCTACCTTCTTTTAGATTAAAACCATTACTCTTGGCCTATCACTACACTTTATCATGGAGTACCCCCTCATCTTTCTTGTTAGCTGCCTTTAATTAATAGAAGGCTTTTATAAGTTCTTCACAGAAAGTATAAAGATTTCTCCAGTTTCTGCTTACAAACACTTGTGCTACAAATGAATATGTGGATTTCACAGAGGGAGGGACTCTGGTTACTGGTAAGCAATTTCATTGCCTTTACATCAAATCTGAGTTTAAATTGTTCTCCCAACTTTATTTTTTTCTGAAGCTAATGTTTCTGTTTTCATTTTGTTTTGTTTTGTTTTGTTTCTGTTTTATTCCTGTTAGTATTATAAAGCTTTCAAGTGTAATCTTTGCATATTATTTATTGCATGAATAATTTTCTTTAGAATTCTGAACGGATTTCTTGGATTTGATGCTTACAGTTTTATTGGTTTAAGATGTGATTATGTTACAGGCTGCCATTTGCTCATCAGAATTAATTTATATGAATGCTACTAGATTAGTATAAACTAATTATACAAAAAAAAAATAATTATAAACTCATTCTCCTATTTTGGTGTGAAAAGCAGATGTTCTAAAGCCTTTACAAGTCATTCTCAAAATCTGGGTCAAAACTTTGTCTTAACCATATATGTAATCCCATGCCTTTTCCGTTCCACTAAGTTCGAAAAAAGAATTAATGGATAATAGTCTTACAGGAAAAAATAGAAATATGTCTTATGAGGCCAACTTGGGCATATCTGAAGAATGCAAGCTTCTGAGAACACTTAAAAGTGAGCCACTGTACTCATTGTGGTATGAAATAAACTTCTATGAATTGAAAAGGACATTTCCATCTGAAAAAGTTGCATTCACTACTAGTATAAGTAATTGCTAAGTTTCTGATGTCACAAGCTTCTGAGAAGAGCAAAGCCCATCCATTTATGTGTTCGCAGAAATACGTGAATGAACAATGTAGTAAATAAATGAACAAAGACACAGGGAAAATGTGTTTGTTTTATGTCTCTGACCACACTTGTATATCATCTGTGTCACATTTCTGTTAATTGTCAGACTTCCTTTCTCTACTGCAGTGTTGTCAGCCGTATGATTCATGAGTCATGTCTAGCCCTTTGTTGACAGAGCTCATTGAATATTCATATTTGAGAGTATAAAGTATAAGTTTCTTATTCCTTTGGGAGGAAAGGAGGTAGGCCTTCCAAATTCAACATTAATTTGGTCCTCACTGCACCCCTGTGTCTGTCACGGCTTATTGTCCTGAAAACAATAGCTTTCCTAGGTGTAAAATGACCTGTTCTCCCTTTTTATTTTTGCTCATTGTTTTATGGCAGAAGGTGGGGAAGAGAGATGGGTACAAAACCCAAGACCTTGCTGTTTGCTGGAGGAAAGTATATGTGGTGGGGGAAGGCAGGTGTAGAAGAGACATAAAGCCAAGTTGAAGGCAGGGAAAGGAATACGGGAAAGAAAAGAAGGGAGTGAGAGAAAAGCAATGATACAATGCTGAATCTTCCCAGTTAATGACGTTGAATTGTGACAATGAGGCATTAAAGAGATTTTCAAAAGCAGTTAGCTCCATTTTCAGATGGCCTAGTTAAGCATTCAATGATGCAGATAGCCCCCCTCTGGGATTTTCAGAAGTCTCTAATGGCCTAATTCCTCCAAGGAAAACTGTTATGCGCTCTGTATTACTCTGCATCAATGTGTTACGGATGTGTTCCACTGACAGCCATGGCTGCTTGAAGCGTGGAGTTCAAAACAGCGAAGCAGCCCACGACTGTAATTACAACGGAGGCTTTTCTCTAAATGAGCGTCATGCTCCTGCAGGAGCTGGGTGACAGCGCTTTCCTGCTCTCCACTGCAGAACACGAGCTGCCTTTCCACAGCACTGCAAGAGGCTCTTCGCTGGGGCAGCAGAGAAGAGAAAGGAAGCAGCAGCCAGGAAGCATGCACAGAGGTGGGGAGAAAAGGTCATAGATGAGATAAACTTGAGTATCTTTGTGGTTATGCTTTGATCTACCAAGAGTCTCGTCCCTTCTATAACCCACGGTAGGAAACAGGAGTTTAAAAAAAAAAAAAACAAAACAAAACACCTGTAAAAGGGATATTATTTTAAGCAAGAGATATTATTTAAAGAACTCCAACCCAAAACATTTTTACTATTTTTACTGTTTTGGTTACTTAAAACATTTGAAGTGGACAGCACCACATTAATTACAGGAGCATTTGCAGGTGTGTACTGGTGGTGGTGGTGGTGGCTTTTGTTGGTTTCCTTTCTCAATGGACTCACACAACGGTTTAAAGCATTGGTGAGACTTCCTTGCTCTCTCTAAAGACACTGTAACTTGCTCAAGTAAATAGGAAAAAGGGTAGAAGTTTCAGGTATAATTAAATTTTTAAAAGTTTCCTAAAAATCGATGAGAGAGAGAGAAAGACAAATTAATGCCAATGCTGTGGGGAGAACTTGGTCACTATATATTGCAGCAAGTCTTAATGATAAGCCTGAGCTTATCTAACAGTTCACCACCACCCAGCAGGGGAAGGTCGTGCTCTCCCTTCCTTTTCTGCTTTTAAGCTGTGTGTTGTCTCCTCACTTTTTGCCAGGACCTAGGGGATGCCTCTATGAGCAGGTCTGGCTAAGCCTGAAGTCCAGGGGCAGCCTAGCCCGATCCAACTGCTGGCTGCAGTCCTGCTCCCTGCCCCTTTGTTCTCCTCTTTCCTCTTTCACTTCCCTTTTGCAGGGCAATGTGTTCCTCCTGCCCCTCCCTTGTGACAGTCCTGGATGCTTTGTCATGTCCTCTGATGAGTAGTTCCAACATGATAAGGTGGCAGAAAATTAAGGGGAATTGAAAAAGAGAGAAAAAAAAAAAAAAAAGGGTATTTTTTCTGCTGATACCTCTGTGCCAAGACAGTTCAGCAAAAAACCTGATAAGCAGTGGAGAGACTGCAAGCGAGAGGGTGGAAATACACGAGTGGGTGGAAGGGTCAGAGGAGAGGACAGGACAACTGCCACCCTTCACCGTCAGTTTCGGAGAGTGTTATTCTCCTCATCACAAGGTTATTGTGATGGGAAGGGAAATCTAGGTTCCTTGCATCCGTTTCTCCCACAGGCACTTGTTTCAATATTGAATGTGCTGCACAGGAGAAGTGAGGCCTATCTCCAAGACAAGGAATTTCCAGTCCATGGAGGAGTCACCGAGAAAACAGAAAGCATATGTGCTGTGAGGAGTATACAGATGGGCATGACCCATGATCAAATGCTGACTTCTCTGAAAACTAAGCTCATTTCCTGTACGTATTGTGAAAAAGAAAGAAAAAAAGTGTGGTTTTAAAGAGGAAGTTTACAGCACAAACGGTAACGGTTTGGTGACCTGGGATTAGGATAGAGCTGTACAAACCCCATTAATCAAGAATCAGTAAAATATCCTTATTACAGACCTTTGGGGGAGTGTATAGAAATTTCTGTATAGCACCGACTGATAAAACGGAGCTGCTCTGCTTCAAGCAATGAGGAATGCGAGGCTCTTCACATGGCAGCAAAACTACAAACAAAATATAATTCACTCCACTACACTAATGCAGGATTTAAGATTTAAGGATTTAAGTAGGAAAATTATTTTCCTGGCTCATCATTTTATGTACTCCAACACTGATAACGGTGGAAATAGATTTTCCTCATGTAACTTCACTCTCTTGCTCCTTTCTTTTTCTTTACTTGCATGTTATGTGAACTTCCCAAAACTAACAAATTTTTTGTCTTTCTTTTGCTCAAATTAGTGCAAGAAGGACTCTTAAATAGGGTTAAAATACCACAGCGATGACCTCACACAACACTTGTGTTTGTTTTTTCAGTTGGAATTGTAAGATTTTGAGGCTGTATCTCCTGAACTTTGGAAGCAGTTATTGATTGTGGAAGCATGCCCAATTCTGGAAACTTTTGGATTTTAATTGCATTTTAAAGGAGAATTTTGATCTTCTTCTGCTGGAATAAATGAAAATATCCATAGATTCTGAATTCTATCCAAAGCAGTGAAGCCATATGCTAAGAAGCCAAAGTTGTAAGTTGAAAAACTGTAGAAATATTCCAGATTATCTATGATTAAGCCATTTCAGACATTCAAGTTATAAATAAGTATTTTTCCAGTGCTTCAAAAGAGAAATTGACACATTGCTTTTTCAATAGCAGGACTTAAGAGACACTTGTAAGCTTTTTGAACCTGTTGAAGCTGATCTTGTCATAGAAGTAAGAACCTCTGTTTACTTTTTTGATTCTTTAGATAGTGACTCTGATGTTCAGTGTCTCACTCTCACTTTTTTTTTTTTTTTTAATGTTCATCGTGCCGAATATCTAGTCTCTTAGGACTTAATGCACTGACAATTTTAAATTCAATGGTCATGAGTTGGACAGTTTTCTCTGGGGATGTGGCCTATCTGAAAAACAAATCTGTCATTTCAAAGAAAGTTAGTGCTGTTGGTACTGAAGTTGTGTACGTAATTTCATTTTCAGTTTTCTTGACCAAAAAACACAAAAAGTTATTTTATACTTTGCAAAATATTTAGCTTACATTTTTTAGAGAAATATAATGATTTTAACAAAATTAAGCATTTTATTTTTTTTAAAAATAGATAATATTAAAAGTAGAAAACTGATCTATTTAGCTTCTCAGAGGAGTAATGGGAAAACAAAAACAAAATAACTTTTCCTCCAAAGCTGTTTGGCAACTTTTATGAAATTTAGTAATATTTCCAGTCTTACCCCAAACATTTTTAAGGAAATGAAGTACTTTCACAAAAGGAATGGTTGGTATTGGTAAGAAGCTAAAATGATGGCTTGTTGGCCAAGCAGTGGTAGAGAGTTACTTTTGAAAAACATCAGTGAAAAATGAGAAAAAATGTTTGTTGAGGGGAAAAAGAAGAAAACTCTTAGTATTTCCAAAAACTAATTGTGAAAGATTTGAAAAATGTCCCTAGAAACCATGTCTGTGGCAGTGCCTTGATGTCTTTCCACCTGTGAGAATATTGGATCTTTCAGTTCAATACCTGCTATTTCCTCCTCTTTTTTCATTAGAAGTATTGGTTTGGCAATGTAGGATGTATGGAGTACAGACATCTTATGTTCAAAATTCTAAAATTTTTAATTTTGTGATTATTTAATCATTTAAATACCTGTTCTGATTATGTTTACACCATTGTCAAGCTAATTCTGTCATGAAGCATGGCAACACTATACACATAAGGATGATTTTTCTCAGCAAATTAGCTGATGTTTTAAGATTTGCGCTTGTGACACCTCCACACAGAAGACAGGGTAAGAGAGAGGAAGTTTCAGTGGTAACAACTCTTTCATTATCATTTTCTCAACAAAAAGATAGTTTTTTTTCTCTTCACTAAGTATCTGTGATATTCTTCCATTATTCCATTCTTCCATATTCTTCCGTTGCATGAGATCAACCTCGGTCACAGATAAGAAATCAGAAAAGTACATACCAGAACACGTGAGCCTACAAAGTTTTACAAATAGAGAACCTATTCGTTCTACCTACTGTGTTTATGATTTAATCTATTTGGTGCCTCAAAACAAGTTTCATTAATATTGTGAATGAACTATAAGAAATGCTTTGAAAAATACCATCAAATGGTAACTATTAGTTGTATAAAAGACCTTTGTACAGGAGTTTTCAAGTGATATTAAAAGCAATTTTAAAAAGGTGTTGATACTGTCTTCACGTTATTTGCAAAAGGATCATACTCTGAATTCCTAGGCAGGACTGGTACTGATTAGGGACTGGTACGGGCTTTCTGTGTGAAAAGTACCACGGGTAGTACTAATACAGTCAAAATACATTGCCAATTGAAAGTCGTAGAAGTTGGACTTCCACTCTTGAGTTTTACTTTTCAAATTATCTGTTTGGGCACTCCTCAGATTCTTTTACATATTTCTCGCAATTAACATGACTGAAATTCACTTCACAACCACAGTGTCTTAAACAAAACCCAAGTGAAATGCCATGGAGTAGATAGCAGCTTGAATGAGGTGCTGGTATTGTTTGCAAATGTTTTGTTTCTGAAGAGTGTTTCTGAAATTAGCCGTGTGCTACCAATGAAGATAAGCCAACAATGACATTTTTACATAAACTGTTTGCTCTGTTTTCTGAATGCCTGAAATATTTCATAACCTCAGGAGAGAACAGAGCCGTTTCACATCATACAATCATTAATATTGTCAGAGTACAGATCTCCAGCGATGCGCTAATAAAAACCTGATGAAGACTGAAACACTTCTCAGTGAATCACGTTTCTATCAGCAGCCTTCTGCTGGCGTGTATTGGTGCTGTATTCATGAAGACAAGAAGAAAGCTCACCAGTTGTTCATAAAGAACGTGTCAAAGAACGAAAATTGTCTGTATATGTAAGTTAGGAGGTAGCAGGCAAACTGCTGGCAATAAGCGCTGGGGGGAGGAGGAGGGTATGGAAAGGAGTAGTGCAGCAGCACCTACTAGAAACAAATAAATAAAAAAGAAGGGGATGTCATCAGTCATTCTTTACGGATGAAGAATTAGTTTATTGAATTAAAGGGATAAATATCTGCAAAATGAGACGTGGAATTAGGAAACCGTTGCCCCCACACACCGCTGGCTTTTCGGTGTCTCCCTTAGGGCCAGCCCTCAGCCACGTGGGGCTGCAACAGAGCCCAATTTATTTGGAAATGTGACGGGCACACCTTGTGCCTGCTGGGGCTGCCGCGGCTGTGCCCAGGGCAGGGCAGGGCAGGGCTGCCCCGACCCGACCCGGGGGGATTTGGGGACGGGCGGAGCCGCCTCAGCGCCCCCACCGCTCCGCCCCGCCCCCCGCAGGGCTCGCGGGGCACGCCGGGAGTTGTAGTCCCCGCCGCCGCCCTCCCCTCCTTGGGGGCCGCCGGGCGGAGGGGGGCAGCCGAACTACAACTCCCAGCGGGCGGGGGGAGGGTGGTCCCCCTCGGCCGGGCCGCGCGGGCGGGGCCTCTCCGCGCCCAGCGCTCCCCCCCCCACCCCCGCACACCTCGCCCTGCCGCGGCCGGGGCCGAGGGGAGGCTCCGCGTGCCCGTGCGCGCGCGCGCGCGCGGGGGCGGCCGGTTGCGAGGGGGGCGGCCAGGGCGGCGCAGTCGGGCGGGCGGTCGGGCAGCAGGACGGGGGGGGCTCCGCCCGCCGCTCCGCTTCTCCTCCGCGGTCGGGATGAAGAGGCGGCTGGCGGCGGGGGATGAGCCCGGGTAGAGGGCGGGGAGGATGGTAAGGGGCCGGCGGGGTCCCGGCGCAGCTCTCCCGGCGGCGGCGGCGGCGGCGGCGCCCTCCGCCCCTCTGCCCGCTCCGCCCTCGCTGCGAGGAGCCGCGCCGCGGGGGGAGGCGGGGGCTCGGGCAGCCGGCGCCGCCCGGGGCGCGGGGCGTGAGGCGGGGACGCGGCGGGGCGGGGGGATGAGGAGCCGGCGGGCAGCCGCCGCCTGCCGGGCCCCGGCCCGGCCCCAGCCCCAGCTCCAGCCCCGGCCCCGGCCCTGAGGCTCGGCGGGGCTCCCCGGGGAGCGGTGCCCGCGGAGGCTGTGCTGGCGGAGCCGCTCCCGCAGGCAGCGTGCGGGCAGGAAGGAGCAGCCCTGCGGCTCCGCGATCAGCCCGGACAGCCCCTCACCGCTTCATAAACCTCCTGATTTCGTTATTATTGTTATTTTTATTTTTTTTTTCCTCTCGCCCTTCCGAGCCCGGCGGCGGGCGGGGGAGGGCCGGCTGCCTCCTGCCCGGCGCTGCCAGCATGCCGGCTGCGGGCTGCGAGGAGCCCGGCGGGCTCTGCCCGGCGCTGCCCCTGCCCGCCTGCTAGCGGGGCTGCCGCGGCCGGCAGCGGCTCTGCCCGCCCTGCAGACACCGCAGCTCCTCTCCGGTGGGGCTCGCCCCACGGTTGACTTTCTCTTGATGACTCCTGGAGGTGGCAGCGGGCCCATGAAAGACTGCGAGTACAGCCAGATCAGCACGCACAGCTCCTCGTCTCCCATGGAGTCTCCCCACAAGAAAAAGAAAACAGCTCCCAGGAGGAAATGGGAGGTTTTCCCTGGAAGGAACAAGTTCTTCTGCAATGGGAGGATCATGATGGCTCGGCAGACCGGAGTCTTCTACCTGACTCTTGTGCTCATCCTGGTCACCAGTGGACTCTTCTTTGCGTTTGAGTAAGTGACGCTCGCGCCTGTCGTGTCCCCGCTCTCTTCCTGTAGCTATTTACTTGCTGACCGAAAGCAACATAAACACACTTATCCAGATGTCACAGGGGGTGCTGGCTGACATCGGCCGCCGTCAGTTTATGTAACTGAGAGCGTGCTCTGGTGAGGTGCTGAGGGGCACGCGGTCCTGCTTTCCTCACTCAGCTCCGCGGAAAACTCAGCTCGGAGGATGGAGGTGGTACGGCTTTTATATTGCAGGTTTCCAGCTCTTGCTGCAAGAGGAGCGTAAAACAACAGGTTTGGGACGGTCAGGAAATGAGGTAGCTGCTTGTCCGTCGGTAACTGATCAGAATCAAAACTGGCAGGTGCAAAAATACTGACCTATTGCCACAGAACCGCACGGAGTGCAAGGAAAGCAATGCCTTTTGTTAGTTCATAAATCAGGCTTTTTTTCTGTCTTTTCCTTCTTGAAGTCATTTAATAGCTTGTGGACAAGATTTCTAGATTAGTTAAATAAAGAAAAGGCAGAGCTATACAATTTTGTATGTACCTAGCTTTTCGCCACTAGGTAACAGCATTACTTTGTTTGTGATGGTAACTTGTTGTACGTCAGGTTGGTCTTATTGTAAGCAATGTTTGCCTTACAGTTTTGGATTCATTTTTTAAGGAGGTTTCTGGCGTCCTCCTAGGGCCTTTTTCTCTGTTGCTGCGAGTCTTCAGGAATCTTTTTCATCTCCATCAAGTGAAGACACAGTGCCAGCAAATCTAAAGTACTGATTTTTCGCAATTATACTGGAGCAGCTAAATTAAGTATGCATGCTAATAAAGAATTAGGTACTTGATATGTAAAATGCAATTCACCTTTTATTTAGTTATTTAAAGCACTGAGTTACAACGGTGCTCAGACTGCAAACTACTTGCTATTATAAGAACTACTGAGTTCTTTTTAAAGATATCATCCTGCTTCACCTGTTTTAAAACTATCCTAGCTTGATTTGTGGTTTGTGGCAGGAAAATAAAGATACAGTTGAACATAGATTACTGCTTGATGCCTTTAAAGAGAGAGATAGCAACGTTAGCAAACTCTGACTTGTGCCAGTTAGATGTAGAAGACAATTGTTACATACTGGTAGCATTTAAGGAGGTAGAAATGCTCGGTAGGTGATCAGAGTCTAAAGCTGTGTGACCGGAAAAGATGTCTGTGAATTCCTCAGGTGAACTGTCTTCAATGGGCTCCTGGTGATGGTAGAGGAGTGATTCACTGTACATCTTCTGCAGGCATTATGAAACTTCTTGAGCATCCTTTGAGTAATTGCAATGGCACAGCGGATGATGGTATCCATTTACTGCACGTGCGCTTACTTTCCTGTTTTTAAACAGGTTTCAAAGGTGTCTGCTGGTAGTATTGCATCAGGACTGGCTGCTACTCTGTTCTGGTTGGCGTGATTAGGCCTAATTTTGGAAAGGTTTTCCATGTGGGCTGACACTCATATCTGTGTGTGGTCTCATCACCTTCGCTAGAGCCTCCAAAGGCAAGTGCTGGACATCCCATAAGCACCAGAATGTAAACGTAGGATCGGAAGTGTAATGTTTTATAGTCATGGTTGTAAAACCTATTTGCCAAACCACCATGTACGGCTTATTTATGTGTTTTAACAATTCGATCCTTCAGAGAGAAATATTCTCTGCAGTTGCATGATTCAGAACTGCTAGGGCAGGGTGAGCCGCTCGCTCTCTGTCACCTGATTTCATTACCTCTGTGAGTTATGTGCTCTGTGAGACTCAAATGCTCCAACTGGTGTTGTGGCTTTGAGCTTATCTGCAGTGTAACTGTATGTGGTGGACCATGTTTGGAGTCAAGGTACAGCATTTTGATACCAAACTGGTGTTTTTTCTAACCAGAAGTCTGAAGCAAGGAGAAATCTCAGGGTTTATGTAACTATGAGCAAAAGCATGTGTACTGCTCTTGAGTCATTCTTGTATCACTCGCACTCTTCTTTCAAGGAAATTAAAAATAGAGGGCAGCAATGGTATTTAATTTGTACAACAATGATAAGGTAGGTTTGGTGTTTAAAAAGCACTTATGCTGGAATTATTGTGCATCCTCTGAAGGCAAAATAAAACAAACAAAAAAAAAAAACAACACCAAATCCCTCAAACTCTGAGACTGGGAATGGTGCTCAGCATGTTTGCAGTGTTTGAACTACAAAAGCTTGGTAAGGTTATAAAGGAAAAAGGGGACATTCCTTGCTTAAAAAGTATTATTCCGAAGCAGTATCTCATTGTATCTCTTGTTAGTGGTCTGAAGTTGCTACTTACTGATCAGCTGAGAAGGTCTCCAGTTGTTCGAATGTCACTTCTGTTATTTAACTGATTGGTTAGGAAGCTGCTCCTCAACCAGCCACTTCCAGAATGTGAGAGCAAAGTGCTTCAGTCCTTTCTGTACACGTGGGCCCAAGTGATTTTTAAATGGGTGTTTGCCTTGTGTGTCTGAACTGTAAGGTGAAGCTCTCAGTGAAGAGGAAGATACC